AGAGTTAACACCAAAAAAAACAAAAACAAACAAACAAAAAAACCCCAACAACCCAATAACCCAATCAATAAATGGACAAACTAAACAGAAACTTCTGAAGAGAAAAAACACAAATGGCCAACAAATATATGAAAAAATGTTCAACATATCTAACAATCAGGGAAATGCAAATCAGAACTACACTAAGATTTCATCTCATCCCAGTCAGAAGGGCAATGACCAAGAGTATGAGTAAATGCTGTCCAGGTTCTGGGGGAAAAGGTACATTTATGCATTGTTGGTGGGCCTGCAGAATAGGACAACCACTCTGAAAAGCAGTGTGGAGATTCCTCAAAAAACTAGGGATGAACTACCATATGACTCAGTTATCCCACTCCTTAGTATTTTCCCCAAAGATCTACAACAGGCATACTATATAGCTGCCTCTGTTCATAGTAGCCCAATTCACAATAGCTATGAACTCATAAGGCCATGTTTTATCTTATATAAGGAAGCAAGAGTAAAAGAAAGGAAAGGGAAAGAGGATAGTAATGTAGAAGATCAAGAGGCAGAAAAAAGCCATGGGTGAGGGAAGAAAATGCAGGATGAACTCTTAAAAAATGTTCTATACATATATGACAGGGAACTTCATCTTTATGCATAGGTAGAAATAACCAAATATAAATYAATAGGCCAGCAGAAGGAAGTCCAGAAGAGTGGAGGAAAGAGAATGGGAAAAAGGAGGGAGGCTGGGAAGAAAAGCAGGGAGGGAAATGAGAGGGTTCATGAACTGAAATCAAACTCCATGCATGTATGAGTTTGTTGGAAATGAACCCTACTACTAGGTATAACAATAAAGCTCTAATAAAAAAAAATCTGATGTGGTTCCTCCCCAGGATTTCCAAGTGTGGGAAACCTCTCCAATGCCCACCAATCTAGTAAACAGAGTGACTGGCCAGCGCCCAGAGAGAGAAAGGACAAATAATGTCCTCAGCAAGAGACAAGATTCTTCCCCCAATCCTGAACCTTAGTCTTGATTGCTTCATAAAACTAAATACTTAAACAAACAAAAAAGCATATTCAAGAAATCCAATATACTTTATCGAGAGAAAATGTAGTCATATAATTCATCCCATCAAAGTGCTAAGGGGCCAGGCGCTGTGGCCCACACCTGAAATCCCAGTGGCTTAGGAGGCTGAGACAGGAGGATCTCAAGTTCAAAGCCAGCCTCAGCAAAAAGTGAGGCGCTAAACAACTCAGTGAGACCCTGTCTCTAAATAAAATACAAAATAGGGCTGGGGATGTGGCTTAGTGGTTGAGAGCCCCTGAGTTCAATCTCTGGTAACCCCCAAAAAAATAATTTTAAAAAGTGCTAAGGTAGGGCTGAGGTTGTGGCTCAGTGGTAGCGCGCTTGCCTAGCATGTGTGACACATTGGCTTCGATTCTCAGCACCACATATAGATGAATAAAATAAAGGTCCAACAACAACTAAAAAATATTTTTTTAAAAAGTGCTAAGGTAAGAAAAACTTATGATCAAAACCATAATATTGTGAAGAGATATGATAAAATCCAACATCCCTTACTAATTTATAACTCTTGTCAATACAGGACATTTAGAAAATTAAATATGGAAGAACTCTTCCATAAAAATAGCTATTTACAAGTAATAACCAATGTCTGTATTTAAAGGAAAGCATGGCTACAACTACCATCATTGAAACGTATTTGGAGAATTCTAATTAGTAGGTTAAGAAGAAAAAAATAGAATTTCAATAATTGGTAAAAGTAAATCATAGTGTTTCATAATTGCACGTGATAGTTATATAAAAATGCTCAAATGGCAAAAAGATAAAAATAATTAAACTATTAAAATTTTAAGATTGTTATTATATAATCAGTATGCAAAACCAAAAATTGAAATTGTATTTCCCTACATCATCTCTGCTTTTTGTATCTTTATTCTATATTCTTTCAAATGCCTTAACTTTATTTTCCAGGCTTCTTTGATTGTTGGGAATCAGATGATTAGTTTTATAATTCCTCCCCTTTAAAACCTTTTTTTCCTTTTTAGTCTATCTGCATCTGTTGATTTTCTACAAATACATTATTATCCTGACCTACCTCTCTTTACGTTTAGAAGAAATAGGCCCTTTAGGTGCATTAGCTCCCTGACATTTTTACTTCTTTGTTTGAATAAGGTCTCTTTTCCACAACAGTAGTACTCTTTCTTGTTGAGAATGTTGGCTGGAACATTCCAGTAGGCAGAAGAATTGCTTTGACTTTCAGGTGTTTGTTTACAACTCATAGTGGAGGAGCACAAAGACACAACATCTACACTATGGCATCCCCCACTGCATGGGCCACATCACATGGGCATGTGCCCCTGTGACCTCCTCCCCAATACTTCATTCATGAAAGGAATTTTGTTCCCTTCATTTACAGGAAGTCCCCCATGTTTGTCTGGGAAAGGTACCTCCCAGCAGCACCTGATGAGGGAATAATGGAGGAAAGCACTTGTGGTGTATCTATTCTTTCATCTAATCAAAGTGTGTATTCTACCACTGTGAATTCCAAATCTGTGTGTGTGTAATTTGACTTGTGTTTCAGATGCAATCAGTAGTTTCTAATTTCCACTTCAGGCTTTTGGTTCACTTGCTTTCTTGGTTAACATGCTGCATCCTCTGAGATTCTTGACTTCAGATATCATTGGTAAACTCATCTACCTATAGTTGTAGTTTTATAATTCCTGGTCCTCAGTATTTTCTGATGGTGCTTTTCTTTAATTAAACTTTTATGAGCTGTGTCAATATCTATAAACAAGGCAGTGAGTTTTGCCCAATTTGAACACTATATGAAGGGGAATAGTCCCTAGTGTTTTTATGACTTTCTTTTTGACTCAATATTGATCACACTTGTGATTTTATCTGTTTTTCACTTATTTTACTTGTTGTATTCCACACTCAGCAACTTATTTACACATTTTAATGTGTAGGATACTTTAATTCTTCCTAGTTTGGTGATAAGAGAAATAGTGCTATGGACATTTTCCAGTGAAAGTGTGCATGCAGTTTCTTTATAGGATCTTATAGAAATGGCATTAATGACATTTCTTATGGGAAATGAAAGTAGTACAGTTAACTTTCTTTCACTTTAGCAGATCGACATTTGAGATGTGCTTTTGCTAAGAAGATATCCATTCTGTACTCACTTAAAATATTACCTACCAAAGAATTCACATAGAACAGGTGTGAATTTACCCAGATAAGGGTAAAATAACAGGTCATGTTTTGAGACCTGGAAATTAGCAATATCACTTTTATGAGAAATCAGGAAAGTGCCTATGGGGAAGTTTCTGAGTTCGTCTCATTTTTGCACAGAACAGAAGCCAACATGAGGGTTGTGGAGGTGGTAGTATGGGGGGTGGGGATACTCCTCGATAAAGGAAAGCCTCCTGTGCAAGACCTAAGAATCTCTTCAGGGATCCAATGGCATAAAACACCAGATATTTCAAAATATTTGGATTTTGTCTATAGAAGAGAATGGGGTCGAAAGAAACAAAGCTTGGAAGTAAGAACATATGAGCTAAGACTATAAAAGGGAAGGTGGCTTAGCATAGTTGAGAATCCTCAAATTAAATTCTAAGAACCTAAAGTAGAAAGCAGATTTTATAATATCTTATATGKCTAGAGGAGTTCTTGCATAAAATTAGATTACAGAAGGCCAGGTTTTCAGAGGAAGATGAAGGCATGCAACCAACCAAGAATAAACACTATAAAACCAAAGATGAGAAAAGTTCAAGGGAATTCAAGCCTAAAATAAAATGAAAATGAATGCAGAAAGTTAGCACAAGAGTTTTACTGTTGCATTCAAAGGAAAATGATGAGCAGAGAACACATGGGAAAGGCTAGGTTCTGAAGAAAATGGTGACATTTAAAACCAATTGTGGGGCTGGTGTGTTTCCCAGTKATAGAGAGCTCCCCTAGCCTGGGCAGGCCCTGGGTTCCATCCGMAGCACTGCAAAAACAACCAAAACCAATCAAACAAAAACACTGGTGGGTTCATAAGCTCCAAGGCCAGGACTCTACCATTTTCACTTCTGTACACCCCCCAAGTGGCACATTTAAGCCATCTCACCCAAACTACTTACACCCAATTAGCAAAGGAAGAAGCCAGAATCATTAACTTTTGCTCAACTGACTTTTCTGCGGGGGGAAAAGATTTTCAGAATGTTACATGTAGAATCAATAGCAATATGAAGAAACTAAAATGGTCACACTTGATGAGCAAACAAAAAGGAAAAAAATCTGAGTCACTATAAGTACTTACTAATAATAACTTACATGGTCTTAATTTTGAATATAGATATCTTAAGAGGCAGTTAATGCCATTATGGAATTTATTACTCATGCACGTTCAATCACACTTTTTCCAGCACGTATGTAACCATTTTCCCAGTATACGTGGATCCACCTTTTATATTTTATTATATTTSATTAAATAGGAAAATTAAAAAAATAGATTTCCTACCTGCCTCCCCTCCCCAATTATGTAAAACTTCATTAAACACCTTTCTTGCTTCAGGGTATTCTATACATGTGATGTTTAAAAATAGTAAAACAAAATAATTAAAATGAAAATGTTTGCCCCCTTCTACTACATTCTAATCCAAGGCACGGGTTTTTCAAATATTCAATACCCACTGTCTTAAATATTTTCCTAAGATAAAGAAGATATTTTATTGAAGTAAAAACTGAAGCACTAGATCACTGACTGAAACTGTGAAAACAGAAGAAGAAAAAGTTCCTCAATTCCTACTCACCCATCAGGGCTGGAGGTTTGGTGTGTATGTGAAGGGGAGTATGTAAAACAAAATTAACTAAATGAACAGTATTTATATCTTTGTGGAAAGAAGACATTGAGAAAATATAAACTAAAGAAGGCAACGTTGAGAAGGACAAGAGAATTTTTATAATTATGAACTTTATTTTTTATTTACTATGCCAACTTTTTCAGGAAAGGACTTTACATTGGTTTTTATAATCCATTTTACAAGCAAATTCTAATATACAGTATGTACTTGAATTGGTTTCTTAAATCAATGGAAACCACAATAGTAGATATTATTTTTGTTTTAGTTAGTCTTGATTTAGAGACTTTAAATTCTCAAGGTCAGTATAATCTTGTTATGGTAATGCTTTACCAAAAAGAACGTGGGAAGTTTTTTCCCCAAAAGGTTAAGACATATATCTTTAATTAATAACATAATTTTAGATTGGTGTCCACCATCATATAATCATTTACCCAAATGTATTCTCTCAAATTGCTGCAGCAGAAAACTTTAAGGAACATATGGAAAGACAAAAGCAAAATAGAATTCAAGTGAATCAGAATTAAGAAAAATTGTGAGGCCATTATCCCCAAGGAAAAACATCAGATAATCATTTGTATTACAACTATAAATAATTTTCAGATGTGTGCATAAGCATGCAAACATAACTACCCAAAACTAATTTACCAACATGAAAACTATAGTCAGCTGGAATGTAAACTGAAACTGAAATGGTGCTGCAGTCTTATTGACCTTCATTGCAGGCCTGTTTGGTAATTTGAAAGTGCATCTAGGGCCCGGGAGGCCAGGAAACCAGCAGGACAACTGCTTGGAAACTGAGAGTGCACCTCTGTGTCTGTAACACCATCTACTCCACAGGAACTTTTGGAAGTGACAGCTGTGAGGGTTATAATCTCTTTGATGAACTGAATAAAACACTAAAAGGGAAAATGGAACATCTGAAGAAAACATAGTGCTTTAATGGGAAAAGTGACATGCTGTGAATATAATTCTGTGAAAGGCTGTAGTGATATCTTCAAACAGCAACAATTACAGAGAGATTCATTTCACTAAACAAAGCCACACCCAAGAGGAGGCATTTTGATATTTCAGGCACAACTCCAAGCAATTAAGCTCATTTAAAGTGCAAATCTGAAATTTAGTTTCATATTCAGATTTTTACTTGTTAAAATACTTAGTAAGTTCCCTAATATCTATATAAACTACAATGAACAGTAGTCTATTTGCCTGGAAATATTGCACAAATGAAAATGAGACTCCAAAAGAAAAATACCAGGTGGTCTCAGTGATTAAGAAACATTCTAAATGATATAACTCTATAATCCTTTGCTTAAAGTCTTAAAATCATCTGCACCTATAACAATAATATACACTTTATTTAAAAAAAATCAATATGCATCCATTAACAGCCAAATATATAATTCTGCATACTTTTTGCTCTTACACAAATATGAAATTTAACCAACCCTAGAGAACTTCTTCCACAGGACTCAGAATTCATTACTCCCATCATCTTCACCAATACCAAAAGTAAAAGTGATCTAAGTTCCTGCAAAGGAGGACTTGGCACAGAGTTGATTTACAGAAGCAATAAACAAAGGTCAAGCCAAATCTGAGAAGGTGATCTCTGATTATTCAGTAGAGCTACACTCATTTCCATTTCTGACATAACATTTTCTAAGGAGCAGACAAGCATAATATTCTTGTAGCTTTTAAGGAAAACTGCAGATATATACTTTGTTTTTTGTGTAAGCATCCTAGATATTTTTCTCTTAAATGTATTATGCTTCATAATTATATTGATGAGCCTCTTTTGTCAAGATGAAGCTCAACCAAGGTACATAGAAGCTGAACTAGTAAGTTAAGATTACGTAAATACATCAGGGAGGAAGAAAAAAGAGTGGAAAAAATATTAGAATAAACAAATAAGTGGAGTCAACATTTTTATGTATAAAGACATTTCCTTCAGACTACAGCATGAAAAATAAATTAAAAACTTTTCCCCTAGGAATAAGACCAACTTGTAAATAATATTTCATAAGGGTCTTCTAGTAACACCAAATTCTAATAATAAACCAAAAACCTACTAATTCATTAGTATGCTTTACTTTAGGGAAATACAGTATGATAGCATCCTATTTGCAATATATGAAATCAGTTTTCTCCTTCAAAATGTGTCTATCTATAGCTGTGGTCATTATAGCTCACCTTCACACAMAAAAAAGTACTTTGCTTATATGTAGGATGACTGTGTACCAACAATATCTGGACCATGCAAAGCATTTTCTAAACTCCAGCACTTTTCTGGCAGAAGTGCTGTGGTATAAAAGTATGATACTAGATTTGTGCTGCTCACCTGTTACAGATATAATCTCTGTATACTGGAATGGAAAATTCACTTAATGGTTCTCTGATAAGAAAGGGAAGACTGCATCAGATGGTAAGGAACACCTCTTTGGAAATTTCCACTAAAGCACTTGCTGTTGTTTCTCTTATAAAGTGGCATATAATTTAACCAAAGTACATTTTTAGAAGGAACCCCTAGAATTTGAGTGACTTATCTTTTTTGGCCATCATTCCATTTGGTATACTTTTGGTCAGCTGATCAAAATAAAAATTGGCCTTGTAAGATTATCTGTCTGAAAAGTATTAATTCCAATTAAATTAGCTACACATGACCAGCCTAAAGATGACATGATTTGGGAGAACAGAATGCAAATGAACTGAATTGTCTGACAAGTGGCCTGCAGCCTGATTGGGTTCATGCACATGGTTGCTTGGGGGTTTAACAGACACCTTTTGTAGCACATTAAAATAAATAAGCATACTCCCTTTGAAATACTCTTTAACGAAACACTATTTCCCATCTACAATTCTATTTTTCTTCCAAAATCTAACTTTCAAGAAATTGTCAAATGTACAACAACAGAAAAGAGAAACCTAAGAAACTCAGAAATGTGAAACTATTATGAATTCCAACTTTCTCAAGATAGTCTTACTTAAATTTATAACTTTTCTCAAAATATTTAACTTGTTTTGCTATAGAAAATAAGTTTTAAATTTATATACCATCAAAGTTTTGTGCAAATATTTCAAGTCCACTATTCCAGTCTTCAGATATTAACATAAGTCAATAAATATAAATAATTATAATAAAGACTTACTTAAAATAAATGCTGTAAATGCTGTGGAACCTTCAAAAAAGAGTTATGATGGATCCATAAGTCCTGTGGTATTCAAAACCGAGTTGCCAGCAAAATTCTAGCACCAACATATGTTACAAATGGATATACCTTAGGTACAAGTTTCAAGGTATATCTCAAGCTCTTCAAATTTACTAGTAGCAATACAAGCACAAATTATATATGTATGTATGAAAAACAAGATGTTAAAGCAACATATAATTGGTTTATATATAATATTGAACATTTTCAGTCTGGGGAATTTAGTAAACAAATAAACAGTAAGACTAGCTTGCTGATTCCAGTAAGAAAAAAATAAAACTTACATAGTCTTCCCATTAAAAGTCTGATCTCCTTCTCCTTTATTCATCACAAGCTTTTGCATAGACCTTTAAATATATAAAACACTGGCCAGAACTCTACAGATTACCAACTTCCATCAACACCACATCTTGAGTTAAATTAGTAGCCATAGTCACAGGAGGAACAAGTGAAAGGAGCTGGGGTTCGCATAACCACAATTAATACGGATACAACAGGACTAAATCAGCAAAGCCTACTTCTTGCCTGCTGAGGGAAATATTATTACTTTGCTGATGTGCAGAGGGATGGTTAGCATGATTAGAGTCTTCTGTAGGCTTCTGAGATGGGAAAGCAAACTTCTGTGTTTACCTGAGACGAGTATGCTCAAATGGTATATACTTCAACCAGGATATAAAATGGAAGAGCCAAACTAGTAGAAGCTTCCACGTTTTAATTTTAAGAGTTGCAGGCTTTCAGTGGAACCTCCAACATGGTAGCAAATTGCACATAAAGCTATTACAGAACAGATTGTTTTTTTTTTTTTAAAAAAAAAAAAAACAAATTGGCAGGTAATGGCTATGTACTTAATGTATCTTTGGTTTAGGAAGACGAGAATATCGATTAGAAGCCAAACAATCCCCAGAATGTAAATTGCCATTTGGATTCTGCATGATTTCTTTTTGTCGTGCTAGTGGCCTTGGGATACTTGTCTTGGACTGGAAGTTTTGAGGTTCTAGTTGGGGGCTGCTTATTTGTTTTTGTTTGAAAGAGCTGGAAGGGGGACGGAGCTTAGATGTTTTCAGATTCAGATTGTTTGCCAGATTTGTTTGACTAGATGTTGGCTGAAGTTTTGCTGAATTACATGGTGTGATTGTCGGTGACTTCTTAGAAGTGGGAGTCCTACTTGGAGATGATTCAGAATCTGGAGGGGGTGCCAAAGAACTTAAGGTGCATGGCTTTAACAGCTTTAAGGATTTGGGCTGAGACGGGTAGCCCACCGGTGGAGACTGATCTCTTCCAACTCTCTTAGCTTGATCTACTATACTTAACTGGGGAGGTGTCTGTAGAGAAGTAGGTATAAACTGCATGTCACTAATCTGATTCTTTGTCAAACGATAAGGCTCTTGAACATTCATGGTCATGTTCAAGTTCGCTTCAGAAGGTGCACTCTTAATTACATCCATTTTGAACTGTGGGCTTGATGAAGAATGCCGGTTTTCCAAATCATAATTGTTTTCTTGTTGCAAGCCATGTGTAAAGCCTCCATCTGGAAGGGCACTGCTCTGGTGCATGCCCTGGACTGCACATTCACTGTGGGCCTCGATATGTTGTGGCTTTATTAGTTTTCCCTGGGCGTGGTCTGTGGGTCTGGGCAGGTTGCTGGAAGGCTGTAGTACTTGAGGCTGTTAAAATTAAAAAAAAAAAAAAAACATTAGCAGCAATTTATCTTAGAAATGTCACACAGAAATAATGTAAGTTAAATTCCAATTAGGGTCTGTAGGTATTCATTATGCATTACAATGGAAAGTATGTGTTTTTTTTAATTAAAAATGAATTGCAATATTCAAGTGAATTCATGAGACACATATATACAAGTGAAAATGGAAACCAAAAAAATGATACAGGCAATAAAACTAAATAAGATCCAAAATTAAATGGGGGAAATAAAATTTTAAAGTAGTAACTCATTATAGAAAAAAAAAAAACTCCTGCCTTAATAAATTAAGGATTTACAACCTTCTCTGCAAGAGAAAATGAGAATGATTTCCATAGCACTTTGGTTTAATCTTCAGGAAACACTTAACTATGACCTTCAGAATATTACCCATTTTAAAGGTATTTTTAATGTAAAGTTGTGTATCATGTTACCAAGCACTGTACCATTGTCAAGAATCAAAATTACCAGTAGACAGACAAAATTCAGAATAAAGATTATATTGTCAGCGTATGTGAAATTCTAATTATCTGAACAAAAAGTAAGTTATACACTTATTAACACACTTAATAATGCTAACCTGCTTTTCAACATTCTTTTTGAGAATAAAATGTTTCCATTTTGTTCTGTCTCATTGTCACTATGGCTGACATGTAGAAAGCATATATACCATACCCAAGAGTGAACATTCATTTAGTAAAATTAAAAATTGTAAGCTTTGTGATTGAAGCTCATGGCAGAGTACTCATCTAGCATATGTGAGGACCTGGGTTCAATCCCCAGCAACATTAAAAAGAAAAAAACAGGCCTGTGAATGACTGGCTAAGAAAAAAACAAATTTGAAATTGTCTCTGACAGAACTAAAATAACAGAAGCTGACAATGGCAAAGTTCTTAAGGTTCACATGCCTCATGTGTATTTCTCCGTGCTAACTGCATAGTTACATTCCACAAAAATCAGAAGAAATGTGCAACTATCATATAAATATGGAAAAAATATAAATCTTAACAGTTATCTTTCAATAGCCCAAAATACTTAAAATATATAGAGCAGGACTGCGCCTGCATTTATACAGGGGTGGCTTGTAACAAACTGTCCTTTCTTACACGTACCTCCTATTAAGTAATGTGGGCTAAATGTCAAAATAGTTTGGAAAAAGACTTTGAAACATGAACTTTTTTACTGATGCAATAATTTTTTACTATGACAATCTACAAATAATCTACCCAATATATCTAATTTCTCCCATAGAAAGGGGGAACCTACTTCACTACACCATTTGTGCTCTTTTACCTCCCTGACTAGCATTAGACAATGGCTGCCAAGGATCAGTGGTCAGGGATTAGATTATGTCATGGCTGGAAGTGAGTCAGAACAATGACTCAATGAGCGAAAGCCAGCCCTGATGATACAGGACTGATTTGCTACTTTAAAATTAAAAAAATCAAGACAATGACTACCTAAATTAATCCATTCAGAGATATGTTTAATCTTACTGAAGAATGTTTAAACAAGCCAATTAGATTGTTGCTAAATATTCCAGACTTTAAAGACATTGGGCATTTTCACAATCACCACAGAGATGATTAAACTATATTTCAACATGGAAGGTCCTAAAATCAACAAAAAATTAATTCAACAGGTTCTCCTTGAGATTCCCTAGAAAACAACCATCATGTTAAAGTGATTAGGAGTCTTATAAATATTAAAGGAAAAATAGAGAAGGACCATACTAAGGAAACCAAACTCTACCAAAAGCAGAAGGTGGGTAGAAAGGAAGAAAGAGAATGGGGCAGCAATAAATGGCTGCATGAGGATTTGTTTTCTCTCTTCACCTTCAAACACAAAGTATTTTTGTCTGAAAGTTAAAAATCTTAAAACAATTTCAGGTTTTTGAAAATATGAGTGACAATTTAAAATTGACTTTACTGCAATGTCTTTTATAAAAAGTTATAAACATATACTATCAGCTCAAAGCATAAAAAGGCATGATTTCTAATTAAAGACGAAGTAATAAACTGATTATTAGAAAAACCAAACCTCCAGAAAAGGTATTGTGGATTGTAAATTCTGTATTTGAACTGTCCTGATTCCCCAACTTATCATTCCTATCAGAAAAATAAATGGTGACACAGTAGAGAGTTAGTGTTGCTTGCATTAAGTGTAATAAAGCACCATTTCAAATATTAAAGAATTAGAAAATGGCCAGGGTTTTAAAGAGTAATAAAATGTCAGGTCTTACTGAGAGGAGTTAGATTGAACAGTTACATAAAGTCTAAATTATCATCTAATTATATTAAATAAATCAGGGATTTTTATATGCTAAAAATAATGCAGGCTTTATATTTTTATTAAAAATCAATTTAGTCATATAATTACCCTATCCCAAAATACATGTCATGTTTTATTATTTACTTGAAAATTACAATGTGGGAAATCTATTCCACTAGAAGCAAAAAAAAAAAAAAGTCTTTTTCAAACCGGATAAGAAATGACTATAATATGAGCACTAAGGAGACAACTTGCTCCATATATATGTACGTGTGTGTGTGTGTGTGTGTGTGTGTGTGTGTGTGTGTGTGAGAGAGAGAGAGAGAGAGAGAGAGAGAGAGAGAGAGAGAGAGAGAATGTATGTATATGTATATGTATGTATGACTGTAGAAGTGGTTACCCACTAATGACTGAGTTGATATTAATCACCTGCCAGCAAGCTACTTCTACTACCTCTAGCAAGCAAAAAAGTGTTTTAATGGGTTGGTATTTACACTATAAGTACCCCAAATTCTAAACATTCATATAAAGGCAAGATATTAACAGTTCATCTTATGTTTCTATGACTGTAAAAGGTACACTTTCATATTTTTCAAATTTATTAAACTATAAAGATCCCATATCCTCATGTAAATGAAATAGGAATATTAAAGAATATTGTTTTTAAAATGTCTATTATGTACCAGGTAATGTACAAGGTATGGGAAAATCTGGAACCTATCATTATGTAGTTCTTGTGCTTGATAGACCTTCTGAAAGAAATGGTCAGGTAAACAAATGATGAAACCTCTTCTCAAGCATAACATCATATGGGAGCAAAAAAGTAACATCTGTCTAACTGGAAACATCACAAAAGGCATCCCAAAATTGCAAACAATCTATACTGAGTTTTTAAAGGGTTAGTAGGAATTTGCCAAGCAGAAAAGACAGAAAAGAAAACTCTGTTTTTTTTTTTTTTTATTTTGGCACATAGTGGGGATTAAATTTATACTTGCTAGAAAAATAAATAAATAAATAAATGAATGTTAGCTATATGGTCAAGAACTATTTCTTTGGTTGTAAATTATCAAAGTGATATTTTCTGAAAAGGTCAATGATGAAGCATTAATGATTAAAGAAAAAACAATTTTTAAAAGATCATGAGAAAAAGATATCAGAAAATAGGAAAAATGGTTTTGTTTTCCCTAATTTGGGATTAACTTAATAATTCATGTTTATTAGGCTAGAAAGAAAGATTAATTACATGTTAATTAGAACACAAATGCCTGTCATACTGACCTATAGGCTAAGTCATCAAATTGATCTGAAGACTAGCCATTTCTGGACCAAGTAGGATAGGAACACTAAACATTCAACTGTTTTCTATTTTTAACTCTAACAATTAAATATGACTGCACATGTAAAACAATTAGCATAGTTAACATATAGTAAGTGCTCAATAAATGCCACCCATGATTATTAAAGATACAATAATGATGAATTCAAGTTACAGATTTTAATATAACAGTCTTGATTGAGGGGGAAGCAAGTTCTTTAGAAGGATAATAATAAATTAGTTGCTAAAAAAGTGAGGTTTTTACAATAGCAGGTACATCTGATATGGCACGAAACATGATTCCTTTACTGTCTTCCTAGAGATAAGAACTGGAGCTAGGACTGCAAAGCACTTGGAATTTTAAAAAGAACTTTCATATGGTTCTATGAGGAGCTAGTCACAGAATTGGATCTCTTAGCTTCTGGAGTCAGCCTCATCTCAAGTTTGAGTCCTGAATCTATCCCTTACCATTGGGGAAATACTGGGCAAATTACTTCACTGTCCTGAAATGGGATTCATAATTTATAAAGTGAGGATGTACACCCAGTATATATACCTCCTAAAACTGTTTTAAACAATAAACAGTAAAATGCACAGAAAGTGCTTAATACAATGTCTGGCACACTACAAATACTTGAGAAATGTTATACTCTGAGCTCTGAAAGATCAGGGTTCCATTCTTCCCAAGGGTAGCAATTCAAACTCCAAGTTTACATGCATAGTCTCTAACTCTCATAAAACTGTAGGTAGAAGGTATTGTCTTTTTCCTTTTGAAATGAGTAACTAAGGTTTAAAGAAGTTGAGTACCATGTCCAAATGTCACACACTTTAGCAAATGGCAAAGCTGAAATCTGAACCATTAGAGAATTAAAAGGTAACACTAGAACTCTGTAATTCTGCTATTTCAAATTTTCATGAGTTCACAGGCTTTTAGAATATCAATATAGCCAGAAGTTCTAATATATTTAAGAACTTTGAAGACAAATTCAACAGTATCATTCAGGTTACTAACTTTACTAGATATATCCTATTTTCTTCTTCGCTGATTTCACCTGTTCAGAATAAGTCTCAGACATCAAAATCAAGCCACATTGTAGAACAGTATTTCTGGAAAGAGGTGGTTCCACAGTGACTCCATGGAGAAATGCTGAACACTGAGAAAAGGCAAATCAGCACTCACCACTGAGAAAAATTCTTCACCTTCACTGTTTCATATTGCCTCAAAGATTTCTAGTATGAGCTGAAGGAAAAGTTATCAAGTTTTGTAAGCATTCTTGTCTAGGTCATTACCAAAAAGATGGTACCTATAAATGTCAAGTCCCCATTGAGCAAAAATATGCCAAAGTGTGCAAAGTAGAAATCAGGAAATGTTCTACAGTGTA